TCAGATATCTCTTGAGAAATAATACTCTTATTCCTACACTTATAAATTTAACGTTTGACATGCTATTTCTAGCACATTGACAGTTGGATTTCTTCAACCTCACATTTACGACACGTAACTATCCCCCAACATGTACATCTCCTTAATAGCCGTACAAAAGTTATACTGTCCGTCGGATCGCATTCTGTGCTGTGACACTTGTCAACCATCCGAACTGGAAAGCCTCAATACTTCAAAGTCTTACTAGCCCGGCACAGACATGCGTTGGACTAATTTCGTTACATCAGCCGATTGGCCCGGTTCTGGGCATGCCGCTGTCGTATCCCAACAGACCGCTCTTGCCCGTTGATAGGTCATTCCAACTCCCGATGTTGCCTCGTTCGTCTACCGCGGGAAAGAAACATCCCCTCGAGAGATACGGGCCGTTCACGGATTCCAGCTTCAAGCTAATAGCTAGAAAAATCATGAATCATCTTTTAACATTTCACGCTATTATAATGCTGGTTTAAATGGGTGTGGACTGGATGAGTTTGACGAGCCTGGTTCTGTCTTTTGAACCGCGTACGTATCAGCAGCAAAAAAAGTAGAAGCTAATAGCTGGTGGCTATATAGAATTCGTGCTACACTAAACATGCTTGATAATGAATATCTCAGTACCGAAACTGGAGTGGTTGTTTTCGGAGGCATTCATCAGAGGCAGATACGAAGGTATACACAAATGAGCCAAGGAAGCGATAATAAAGTCAATGAAGCAAGTTGGATCGATAATGCAGAATACGATGTCGAACTACCTCAGCGAGAGACAGATGCCCCTACATCCCACGTTAGAAGCGACTTTTCTCTCGCGTTAACAGGTCGCTCGTCTGGCAGCGGTTCTGAGAGCGGTTCTGACGAAGAATATGATGGACGCCTCGCGACGTCCACTATTTGCAGCAGCGGACATATACATGGACCAGACTGATGGTGTTTTCGAATTATACGGCGCGCTTCCGCTTCATTTCACAGAATAAGCACCTAGGGAAGAATTTAATGGACCGAACACGGAACCGGAATCTCCGGATGCGGAAGGTAAGTAAACCTCAGAAGACGCCTCAGCAGTATTCGTGCTAACAATGGCCAATAAAGCCACGAGAGTATTGAGCGCTATATCGAAATGGACCCTCGACAACTACAAGGATCTTTCTCAACACCAACGAGGCAGGACAAGAGAGGTTTGCCGGTGGCAACCGAGGTGCATGTCCCACCTTAACCAGGCTCGGCTCACATTTCATGAGGTCAGGCCTTGGAGCTGACCGACGAGCTAGCAAAGATTGAAATGTTCCCTATGCGTCATGCTTGAGAGTTGAACTGATAATTAGCAAACAGAGCCGCGTAAAAAAAGTTGCTGCAATCTTCTTGGTGGCTCTAGAAGGAGCGCAGGAAGAAAAGATGGGTGGAATATAGCCGAACAAAAACTTGACACTAGAGCATCGGTGCCTAACTGCCGCATCACCAGACGACAAGTGAGTTGTCCAACTTTGCAAAAACGATGCTCCGCCGTACCAAGGTTGAAGCCCCTGCCGGGAAGTGCGGTAGGTTTCATCTCCAGTTAAACCGTCTTGGTTCTCTCGGCTAACACTTGTTGCTTAAAGCTGCTGTACCCCAGTCAAATAAAAATGATGTAAACGCAGCCGCCGGCATCTGTCGCCTTTATACCTAAGCTCATATTACACGGTTAGGACCCAACAACAAAGCTCAATAAAGGGGCATCGCCGACAGAGGACCTCGAAGTTACAGAGATTGAACACATGACCCGGTGAAAACCTTGGGCACAGCTGTTCCCTTCATGCATATATGGTGGTCACTCGTCCCTTTCTTCCTCTTGGAAAACCAAGGACCTTTGACACGCTTCAAGACTTTCACTGAATTAAGTGATTGCTCCAAGCGCTTCGTATTGAGCCCCTGTCACAACTCGTGTTTCTTTCGACGAGATGCATGGAGACTGACACCTTCATGTTGGATAGTTGGATTCCAAGGGTGAGCATGTCGAAGCCACTAGCCAGGGGCTTGACATGTACCGGGCCAAGTCGATAAACCCCAAATTCAACGACAACGTCGTTTCCCTTGTTTGCGAGAAGGCTCGTTTTCTGGCGTAGTTTTTAGTACTATTCTAAATTTGCATACAAAATACTTTTCAATTCACGTATTCTAGTATAATGAAAACGATTGTGACGGTCTGGACTAGGCATAATGAAACGTTGAAGGTAAATAAAACTCAAGTGTAAATTCCCCCGCCACTTTTGTTACACGGAAAAGGCCCAACAGATCGTGAAGCCCAACAAAAGGGTTCCCCGATACGGGACTTGGTGGTTACACAGCTTGAACACGTGCCCGGGCAAGAGCCCTAGGCCCAGGCGTTCCTTTTACGTATATAAGCCGGTCACTTTTCCCTTCCTTCCTCTTAGCAACTCAAGACCTTAGAGCTTTCGAGATTATTATTGAATTGAGCTATTGCTTCAAGCCCTCTGTTGAGCCCTTGTCACAACTTTGAACTACTCGCGTCTCTTCAAATGCTTGCAATGCTTCCCCCAACGGTTTGGCACCATACGCACTTCGCATGTCAATGGCTCTCCATCGCACGCCGCCAAAGTTGTAAACTTGCCGACTTGTCACCCAAGCATGGTTAGGGATCAAGTTACATATCTGCGTGTGGTTTGCATCGAGGTCGGGAATGGGGCAACAGAGGTGTTGACAAGCCGAGCATGCCAGTGCCGATTCTGGATGTCACGTGGAGGCGCGGTTGGTCCTATATCGACCTAGTGCTACATACAGTATGTACCTTGACCAGACATCATTGATACTTTAGTGGGATGGCCAGGCGTCCACTCGCCATCATCAACTTGGACCTCGATTCAATCCTCAGCACACCAGACTCTCGTTCCCAATGGTTGCGCGGCCTCTTCGGCCAACGTCTGTGGCCGCGATTGGAATTGTTCTCCTTCTCGCCACATGCTTGCTCTACGCCAATATACCATGGCACGCAAGCCCGAGCCGACACGGCGCTCTCTCGGCCGCCCAAGACCCAGGCCTCGAATTCCCCAATGACCCGGTTCCTCGCCGCGACTTTGCACCTCTGTCTACATACGCGGCGCAAAACATCCACGAGCCATCTCGATTTGCCTTTGCAACATTCTACTGCAGCCGCAACGCAGACACTCGAGGTCCTTATTTCGAGTCTACGCAATCCATCATCTGGAGGCTTCTCTGGTCCGACTATCGTTCAAAATATCCCGTCATTGTCTTTGTATGCCCCTTTATCCCGGAGACGCACCGTCAGATCTTCCGCGGGCAAGGCGCCATAGTCAAGGAGATTGAACTGCTCGATACCATCATACCCGACGAAGCCATTCTGACAAAGCGGTGGATAGACGTGCTGTCCAAGCTTAATGTATGGAAGCAGGTGGAATGGAAGCGCATCGTGTTCCTGGATTCGGATGCCTTCCCCATCAGGAACATGGACGACATCTTCGGCTTGGTGCCGGAGCAGCAGTGCAACAAGGCCGCCTTGCGTCCCGAGGACCAGGCCGTCGTCGGCAACGGCAAGGGCGGCGAGGACATGTGCAACTACGTCTACGCTGGCGTGGCACAGTTCCAGCTCGACAACATCAACGCCGGCATGCTGGTCCTGAAGCCGAATCTCGACATGCACGCCAAACTCATCAGGGCGGCCAGGAGCACGGCCGACTACGACGTCAGGGACATGGAGCAGGGCGTCTTGAAGTCCAAGAATGCCTTTGCAGCCGACGGCCCGTTTCCGGTACAGCGCCTGCCGCCCATCTGGAATGCCCTCCCGGAATACTACACCAAGTACCTTGGCGACGAGGCCGAGTGGACTGAGGGTCCGATCCGGGTCCTGCACGTCAAGATGTGGAATCGGCTCTGGGGGTCCTGGAACAACTTGACGCATCTGAATGACATGTGGGATCTGGATTGGATGAAGATGTGCAGGTTTTTCGATTCAGACGACTTTGTCAAGGCAAGAACGAGTGGTGTATACGAGACGCCGTGGGAGAGATTGGCAAAGAGCCAGAACCAGGGAATAGCGCCTTAGCGTCAACTATACTACTTGCTCCGTCTCGCGCCACAAGACGCATCTGTAATGGGGGGGTTCTACCGATCCGCCCTGTCTGAGATCCAGCGGAGCGTCCGTGTTTGTCTTTGACCTCGTTGTCATCTGGCGGGGGGCGCTACGGACCCGAGACATGAAACCGGGCAATTTCCCAAAGGTTTTTACTACTAAAATAGCTAGGGTGTCTGCCATCTCCTGTTTGGCGCCTAGTTGCCATGTACAAGAACGGACAAGGTGCTACGAGTCCCCGTTGGCCAAGAGAAGAATCATCACCGCTACATGCCACAAGATTCACGGCGCTTCGGACTACCAGACTGGGCAGCGACGTACGGCCTAAGTTTGACTATGACGTATGGAGCAGTTTGCGTATCATGTCTAGACGGTGCGCCTCGGGTTCGAACGCGCGTTCTGCGCCCAGGGATTCGGCCAAAGTGTGATAAGGTTGACTTTTGGCATGACACGCCCCAGAGAGCATGTACTGTACATACTTAAGCATAAGCAGATCAAGGCAACCCATCTGGCAGCGTCTCCGCCCAGTAGCACATGCCAAAAATTTGACAGTCTACAGAGCCCGGAGCTGTTGGGCCCCGGCAGCTAGCTGGGAACCTCCCGGTCGCTTGTGCCCCTTTGGGTCTGGTTATTTTAAATAACTCGCTGATCTCTGGCGCGGTGGTGGAGACGGCTGGGGAAGAAGGCTTTTTTGGCCGATCAACGGGTTGAAGAAACAAAATCCACAGTCATCTGTGGGGATGGATGTCCTCGTACAAAACACGGGCCACGCTGCCCATCTCCCCGGAAAACGTCTACCCCGACTTTTATCAAGTCAGACTTGGCCCAGCACAAGACAATTTTCAAGTCTGTCGAACCTGGTTCAGAACCATCTACGCTCACCATGAAGTTCCTCGCCATTGCATCGCTGGCCATGGCCTCGTTGGCCGCGGGCCAGAGCCTCGCCGATCTGCCCAGCTGCTCGCTTGGCTGCCTCAACGACGCTGTGAAACAGGGCACGAGCTGCTCGGCGACGGATTTGCCTTGCATCTGCAACAAGTTCGATGTCATCCAGGGCGCCGCTGCGGGCTGTATTCTCAGCGCTTGCGGCCAGGACGTCGCTCTCAGTACGTGTACACATGTTGCCATGCCATGGACTCATGGTTGACTGACACCTGCCACCCAGACGAGGTCCTTCCTGCAACGCAAAAGCTTTGTGCCAACGCCGGCAGCGGCAGCAACACCGACACGTCTGCGCCCACGCCGACGAAACGGCCAGGCCAAACTGCTACTGTCGCGCCTGTGCCTCCTCCCGCGACCACGGTAGAGCCGGTCTCGCCTCCTCCTACCGTCACCGGCGGAGCCACTGGCTTTGCGCCCATGGGAGGATTGGCCATGTTGGCAGTCGCGGCGTTGGCTCTGTGATTTGTTTCAATGGGGGTTGGGGCCGTTGCAACAGAGAAGGCTTGTGCCTAGGCACGAATTCGGCATGGACCAAGACACATAGATTTTTTTTTTCTTCTTCTTAATTTCTGGAATTGTGGGAGACGTGTCGTCGCATTGGCAATGGACCAATGGCTTGCTGCGAGGCATCCTTTGGTCCTGACTCGTGAGCGTTGCTTCGGCACGTCTCCCGTGGGAACTGGTCAAACCCCGAAAGGGTTTTTTTTTCTTCACGTGTACTTATTTTCACAGAGCTTGGTATTACCCTTACGCTACTAAATCTAAACTTGTAGTCTATCAACTGAGCGGACACATTGCTCCCGTCTTTGTCCTAGACCTGCCACTTGTTCTAGAAACTAACACCGTGGGAAAGGCACCATGTGTCTTTCCGGCGTAAACACCACGAAGACGAGTGTCACGAGGGCTGTGGTCCACCCCGACCATACGAGCACCAAAAGTTAAGCCTCTTTTTTCTTCCTCTCGTCCTCCCCGCAGATTGTTGCGTATCACCGATGCCCGTCGTGTCACACTCGCTTCGGGGCCCGCGAGCATGTTCGACGTCGAAGACAACCGCCCATGTCCTGCTCCACTGGCCAAGTGGACTCGACTGCCGAATACGGTATATTCTCCATGGATTTGTGGCGCTGGCTGCAAGCCCGGCTGCCGCCATGGGTCCTGGCCAGGGGTGCATGTGGAGGTGGCTCGGTTGGCTCGGACGACAGACCCAATCCTGCCATCTAGAATGGAACCAATGGCAGCAAATTTGCCCGTCGCTTATCTAATACCCTGTCGTCCCCGGCTGCAGATGTCCCCAGGCCAAGTTGCATGTTCCCAATGACAACGGACATGGGAGAGGACCGTGGACATGGACCGGCCTAGGATACCCTTCCCTCAGGCTCCCACACCAAACCTGGCAGCCCAGTGGCGGCGGGAACCGAGGACGAGAGATTATGTGTGTGTAGGGAGTCATGGCATGTGAAATACATGCTGCGGCCAAAGCGGAGGCCCAAACGATCTCATCAAGATACAGTAGATGCTCTGCGACTCTGTGGGGTTCCAACACAGCGAACATTGAACCCAGTTCGTGGTGTTATTCTTGACAGGGCTGGAATACGGGGCAGGGTTCGGGCTGCAAATTGGCATCTGGAGTCATTCATTGACAGAGCCCTTTCCCATGACCGGTACGTACTGAGTACTCTGTAATATGACTGATGACTGATGTCTCGGTGCAACGGAAGCCATCCATAGTATCGCAGCTAGTTTTGTGCCACCCGCGTTCAACGTAGACTTTGTGTGAATAATGCATATAATATGTACTTGGATAAAACGAATGGCAAAACGCCAAGTAAACTGATTTCCCCAACGCCCCCGTCGCAATAATTCGATTCCATGTTCCGCTGCCCTGATATACAACCCTAGCCAATCAAGTCTATACTCCAACCTCTGAAATCACGGACTCTTGACCAGCTGCTGCTGCTGCTGCGGCTGCTGCTGCTCCTGCTGCTGTTCCTGCAGCAGCTTGAGCCGCTCGACGATAATCTTCTTCCTCTCCGCCTCGGACAGCTTGTCAAAGGCAGCCACGTCCCTGTCCCACTGCTCGACGCAGGCAGCGTCCCAGTTGCACTCCTCGACCTGCCCGTAGGCGGGATGCCTGTAGCGGCGGTGCCTGCTGGGCCAGTTGGACGCGTGGTAGTGGTGCTTGACGAGGGCGCCGCGAGACCCGTGGTTGCCCGAGTCGGAGTGGCCCTGGCCGGCGCAAAAGGCTTCCACCGTCAGCACCAGCACGCGGCCGACGACCTTGGACTCGTCCATGCCGTGGAAGTCGTCCCAGGTGACGCCGGGCTCGCCCTTGGCCCTGGCCGCGCGGTTCATCTCGTCGAGCACGGCGGCGGTAAAGGCCGACGGGCCCGTGCCGGTGATGACCTGGTCAAAGTCGAGCTCGACCTTGCCCAGGGCCACGCGCTGCCTCCTCGCGACGCCCTTGAGCCACTTCATGATGCCGTCGATGAGGTGCAGCATGACGGGGTGGCGCGGGCGCGCGGCAATGGTCCACTGGCAAAAGGACTGCGACTTTTGGCCCAGGATGCGGTGGTGGCGGAACTGCGGCATGTCCACCTCGATGCCGACAATGAGGTCGTAGTCGTGCTCGTTGTGGCGCTCGGGGATGAAGCGGTGGAAGGGCCGGAGGGCCTCGACGTCAATGTCGGCGTAGATGCCGCCCTCGGCGTAGAGGATCATGTACCGCAGCAGGTCGGCCTTGATGATGCGCAGGTTGACCTGGCGGTAAAAGTCGACAATGTCGGGCCGGTTGAAGCCGTCGGGGCCAAAGTGCTGCTCGACGTAGGTCAGGTCGCTGGCGTCGGTGATGACCTCGTAGCGCATATGGGGGTTCTGCTTGATCCACGTCATGGCCCTCGCCGTCTCGGTGATGCCAAACAGCAGCGGGTCGATCTTCCACGTCTGCCATATCTTTTGCGGAAACGTGCTGCCCGGCAGCTTGGCGGGCGGCGGCGCGGGCGAGGCCATGATGCTGGACGGGCTGGGGAGCAGGAAGAGGACGTCCAAGTTGAGCAGGAGCACGAGGAGGAAGACGCAGCCGAGGTACATGGCCAGGCATTTTTGCATCTTTTTTGGCAAGGTGATGCTTCTCAGTTTTTTGGGCGAGAGCCGGGCCCGGAGAGAGGGCATGAGCGGCGGCTTCTCCATCTATGATCTGGGGACTCTCTGCTGTTGGCCTGGGATGTGGTTGAGGGCAAATCCAGACGGGCTGGCCATGTGGTGTTGGAGTATCGTGAGCGTTTAATGTCGCGTCGCGGGAAACTAGGTCAAGTTGGCTGCCATGGCTAGGCCCGAGAAGAAGGCCGTTTGCGCCTCAAATGTTGCATCGACTTTGACATTAATCCATTAATCGTTTGTGGGGCAACCCTAGTGAATGAAGGCAAATCGATGGCTGGGACACGGCACAACATTCAAAGGCCACAAATTGCAATCATGCCAAGTCTGGTGTACCCCGGTGTTGATGTGGACATCTCGGGTCAGGCCGCACCTACAACAGCGTCGACACGGTACCAACATGTCTCGACTCTGCAACTCGTGTGTGGCTTCTTTGTCTGCCCTCCATGTCTCTGATCGGCGGCGCCATGGCCACGACGGGGTGTTGCTCCGGACCCTAAGCGGCCCATTTATTATTATCCGGCTAAGAGCGCCGGCCGCTTTGCCTCCCACCCATCCATCATCCCCGGACTTGAGCAAGCGGCAAAGCGTGTCTGCTCTGCTTCCGGGCACATGGCAAAAGACGAGCAACTTTGCCATAGCCTACGCCTCGGCCCCTCAGACGCAAACTCAAACTGCACACGCTTGCCCTCACCGTCTCTTTGGTTGGCTCTGTTGGCACGCAATGCCAGCCATGCCCCCGGATTCCCGGAAACCAGATCTCTCCAGTCCGGGGCCTTGGTCAACCATTCGCCGTGATCGAGTAAGGACCCTAGTCGAGTGGCTGCACTATGCCAGCCTCAACCTGTTCCATTCGACTAGAACAGGGGTGCAGTCACTCACACTGACACACAATGGTCTTGTCCGGTCCTTGGTCTATCCTCCTCCTCCGTGAGTTGCAAGTGACGACTCGGTACAACACCCAAGTCAGTCGCGGCACCAGACGCCGTCGTCTCTCGCGCAAAACACCACCCTCCGCCGGGATTCGCGCCTTGGTCCAATTCTCTTCAAACAACTTGAAGCGACCCTCTGCCTTGTACAACCGCCTTCCCTACCATGTAAGCCGGCAAGATGCCCGCCCAAAATTCACCCCGACTCCTCGACAGAGGCTCGCTTGAGGAAGCCATGCTCAACGCCGACCCGGAAGCGGCCAACGACGGGCCATCACCGACGCACTGGACATGCGCCCAACCCTCGGGCGACACGTCGACGAGCCTCTCCCGCATCAAGTCACGGCTGTGGCCGCAGGCAGCGCATCGCCCAAGAGCCCTGCACAAAACGGCCTACCTCGACGGCCTGCGCGGCTTCGCAGCCCTCCTGGTGTACTGGCATCACCACGTCCTCTGGGTTCACAACGCCGACAGGCTGGCGCAAAACCCAATCTTTGAAAACAGCTTCGGCTACGCGTCCAAGTACCACCTCGCCGCCTTGCCGGGCGTCCGCCTCCTCTTCTCCGGCGGCCACTTTGCCGTCTCTACCTTTTTCGTCCTGTCGGGCTACGTGCTTTCCATAAAGCCTCTCAGGCTCATCGAGAGCGACGACCTCGCCGGCCTGGTCGACCACCTCGCGTCCGCCATATTCAGGCGCTGGCTGCGGCTGTTTCTCCCCGTCGCCGCGACCATGGCCGTCTACGCAACCTCGTGGCATCTGCTGGGCCTGTGGGTTGACGGAGCGAGCCCGCAGGCCGGCTGGCTCGGCGAGATGTGGTTCCTCTACTGCGAGTTCAAAAACTTCAGCTTCGTCTTCAAGGACGGCGGCGTGCCCTGGCTCTCGTACAGCATGCACGTCTGGTCGATACCCGTCGAGTTCAAGGGCTCCGTGGTCGTCTTTGCGTCCCTGCTGGCCTTTTCGAGATGTACCCTCACGGCGCGTCTCTGGTGCCAGGTCGGGCTCGTCGTTTACTTCATGTACATTGCCGACGGGTGGTACTGCGCCATGTTTGTCGCGGGCATGCTCTTGAGCCACCTGGACCTGTTGGCGGCGCTGGGCAGGCTCCCGCGGTTTCTGGCGCGGCTTGCGCCGTACAAGACCGTCGTCTGTTACCACATGCTGGTGCTGGGCATCTACCTGGGCGGCGTGCCGTGCGAGAACCGCGAGCTGGACCAGCTTGCGCGGAATCGAGGCTGGTATTTCCTCTCCTTTTTCAAGCCGCAGGCCGTCTTTGACTACAAGTGGTTTTACCTCTTTTGGGCCGCGACTCTACTTGTCGGTTCGGTTTCGCACATTGGCTGGTTAAAGAGGTTCTTTGAGACGCGTGTCTGCCAGTATCTGGGACGGATCTCGTTTGCGCTGTATCTCGTCCATGGACCGTTGCTATGGACGCTGGGCGACCGGCTCTATGCGGCAGTCGGCTTCAAGGGCCCGGGTCAACTGGAGCACATGCCGCAGTGGGTGGACAGGTTTGTTCTGCCGCAGAATGGGCCTGTTGGGCTCGAGTTTGCGTTTGTTTTGCCACATTTGATCCTCTTGCCTGTTACCCTCTGCGCGGCCGATTTCGTCACGCGGGCGGTGGACAGGCCAAGCGTCGAGTTTGCGGCATGGGTATACAGGAAAACGCTGCCTAGCGTGCCAAGAAAACACGCAAAAGCTTAGCACTTACTGCTAATAATAATACCGATGCCATGTTGTAATCTCCATCCATGTATGTTCATATGGAACTAGACCACCACCCTCGCCGCAGTGTCCATCTTTATCCTCGCCGACTATACTCGGCTCCGATTCCGACTATTCAGCTCTTCAGGCCGCAGGCTGTGGCCCGGACATTAGGTTCAATGTTTCTAGAGTTTACTTTCGACCCGTCCAATGGAAACTAGGCCAAGTCCGATCAACAGTCCGACGTAACGTGGGGACGCTTTGTGGCGGCGGGGATCTCACCCCAACACTGGAGAACTATTTCTTTGGTGGCTTCTATCCCTGTTCCTTTGAAAATTTTGCACAGACCTGCAATTTGAGGTGCCCATCACCACGTACGTCTGACATGGCTGGTGACGGACGCTTGGGGGCCACGGATCCAGACCCCATTTTTCATCGTCGGAGTTTATTTGCCAATGCAAGCCTAGATTACACCCTTATCTCCAGAGAACCAATCTCTGAAAGACCTGGTAGCGCTGACATGTGCAAGCGCCTGTCGCGGCCGAGTAACGGGCAACTCTGCAATGTGGAGAGAAAGATGACGACACGGCAAGATATCTGGCAAAGCGGCCTGGCAATGCTGACATCCAAGACACGAGAGAGCTTGACACGGCCACTACTTCTCACGTGGACCAGGGGAGAGGAGGATCAAAATCTTCAACCCCGGAATATGATGATGGGCCAAGAGTTTCCGCAACTGCACTCGTATCAACCCCTCTGGCACTGAGCAACGAACCAACTGGTTTCTAGGCTTCCAGTCGTATGGACATGTTACCAGTCTCTGGTAGATTCGTTTGGACTGAGCTAGCCTGAAGAAATCGTCGGCAGTATTCTCGCCATGGCCCATCGATAGCCTTCACGTTGCCACCTGCGCCATATGCTCCCTCGTTGTGCTCCCTCTCCTGTTCCACCCGAGGATGGTTACACCATCAGGATCCTCCAGGCGAGATGGACTTGACCAATGCACTTCTCCAAAAGGCCAGCTGGATAGTTCAACTCGTACGGGCAGCGGAAGAGTTGGATCCTTTGTCAGTGGAAAGGCTTCCCGAGCGCGTATTTGCTCCCGAACGGAGCCTCCGCCCAATTCCTCCGATGCCGATTCTCGACTCTTGAGTCTGTGCCGCTGGTTGAATGATCAGCATGGACTTGGCCGATGATGCCATCCCCATATACCGTGCTTGTACGTGCTCATCAAGCTACCGCCGTATGCGATTTCACTAATAGAGGCGTCACGATGGGCACCCTGGCAGATTTAGAATGCTACATGATGGGTGTTGATGAGTCAAGGATAGCGATGCTTTTTCTTTCTGCTTATCGCACCGGGACTTTGGAATAGTATTGTGAGATAATGGCACAAAATAGCCGTTCCAAGGGGTGCGACGCTGATTATCCCGCGTAAATCTGATGTCCGGAAATCCACGCCCACAACAAACATGTCGGGCCAGATCATCTCTTGCTTCCAAATATCTATGTAGTGTGCTCGCTGCTTGACTCCTGAAATACAACACATTCAGTCCTTGGTTCGCAATTATAATAATAGTGGATATCATTTACGGGCTTTCTCTTCGAGACGGCTGTATATAGCTAATTTGTAGACTCTGGCGAGACGGATTCCTTGTCCACGCCGGTAGCCCAGCATTTAAGGGCAATGGGGCTATTACCGAAGGCCTATTTAGGTGGCGCTTTGGTGAAGGGCCATGAGCGTTTCCCACGGATTGCCTTATGCAGAAAGACTTGGACTAGATTTGCACCGTCGCCAGTCCTCCTCTGGCCTGGTCACAGGGACAATTCAATTGTCAGCCATATATTCTAGCCAGTTCCCTTCCGCTGCATCTCTGCCCGTTGGCCGCAAATTCCATGAATCATGACCAAGTTCTCCGCTTCTCCTCGTGGCGCATCGAGCTCGGGATATTGTACAAATCCAACACGTGGCCATCCTCACGAGAGCCAGAGGGGAGACATTGTCCGAATACAAGAGTCCAACAAGTAAACAGGGGACTGTTTCGAGTTTAGAGATGTCATGGCAAATTTTGAAGCGAGAAGAATCAGCGCTGGGTATGACGTTGACAACAAGTGTAGGGTGATGTGCATGGCAACAAGGGCCCCGACTCCTTGAGACGTCGCTTTCTCGCGACTCTGCACACGGCATCTCGTAGATAGTCGGTTCATACTTAGGGAGTAATTGAGATGCAATTTCGATACCATCGGCAGATGAATGAACAGAGTCGTCGCGCGCTGAAGGCTCTGAGCCTGGCTGACTTAGG